TTCTTCTTAACTGGGCTTCCTCCCTTTATGCTCATTACCCAATTCCCCCCAGAGCTGGGCCTCATAATCAGTTGTGTCTGGACCAACACTGAGATACAAATTGCTAGATCCAGTTAAGCCTTATAGTGCTAGCCCTTGACACAATATACACCCAGTCATACTACTAAAATCCACAGTACCTGTTAATCTTGTTTTTTGAATGTAGACGAGTCTCAGCCTCTTGGCCTCCATGAAAAGATGGCAAAATGCTCCTGGATACTACAGCTATCTCAGGGCCTGATTCAAAGTCTTTGCCTTCAGTGTTTGGATTATTCTCCGGAGACAAATGAGAAATAATAGGACCCCTGTCTTACAGACATGGATAACAAAAGATTTATTGTGTTTATTGCTCCCAAACTGACCACGATTGTCTTGATCTTGAACCACAACCAAACTCTAAAGTCACCAAACATTGAGTAAGCCTCCAAACTGCACCAACTGATAAGTAGGAGACACAGTGCTAAGATGACTCTGCATATCAAAATAATCTCAGCCTCCATTGTTTCATTGTGACCACATATCATATTCACATAGAGCTGAAGTGCTGACAAGACAAAACCTGTGCTATGATATCCCACATGTGACAGCCCTGCAGCAGATGAGCAATGGAGTCATAAAATCAAGGTATTCTGGTTACAGTATAACCTGTAGTCTTAGCTAGTTATTTAGATAGTCATTGGAATGTAATTCTAACAATTTATTTGAACTGTCCATATTATATAAAAAAAAATTGTTTAATGGCCTTGGAACCATTCCTTGTGGAGATACCATTTCTTTCCTACCCCCACAGCATCTTTAACTCTTGTTGAAAAACAGGAGGTACAGCTTATACCTTTGATTTCAAGAATCCCGGGGGCATCCCTTGAGCAGTTTCAACTTGTTGCTGCAGTGTTTCTGTATTGATTGTGATGTTACTTTCCATGCTACAAGTGTCTTGGATTTTTTTATATACACACGCACACATTCATTATATAAACTATACAATATTACTAATATATTACTAATCATTATATTTTGGATTTCTAGAAAATATGTTCTGGAAGAATATTTTATATATGTACACTTATATAACAAAATTCCTTGCCTTTTAATTTTAGATCACTCACTTTGAAAACAAGGCCCAAATCCTAAGTTAATGTAAAGTGATGTAGCAACATGAATGTTCTTATACATCATTTACAAGAGATTCCATAGAATGTATTGGAAGGTCACAGGGCAGATATATCCCATCACTCCTTAGGGGCATTATGGCCTCTCAGACAAGTCCAAATAACCACTCTTCTCAGACCACTATGACCTAATGGTCTGAGTCAGAGGGACTATCCTCAGATTCAGGCTAGCTTGGACTAGGGGCCTATGTCTATGAGGTGGCCTTGTATCTCAGGGCAGTACGATACAATCTTCAGTCAGTGGGGTTATCCTGAGGTTCAGGGCATTGTGACTTAGTGGCCATAGTCAATGGAGTCACTCTTCAGTGTAGGGCAGTGTGGAATAACAGCCAGAGCTGCCATTTTGCACAGGGCGCTATAGCCTAGTGGGGTCAACAGGAATCTTTCTGAAACACACTGACTCTGCTCCTGGTATGACAACCAGATCAATGTCTTGTTCCCCTGGGCTACTTTCTACCCTGTCTTCCTGCTCCATACTCCATGGGTCC